TAGGTTCATTTAAAGAATCAAACTCAGGAACTGAGCGATTACAGATACAGATTGCATTGGTGATACCTTTTGTAGGACTTGACAAACTGCTGCAGGTTGGACTGGTTAATGTTGTTTGTAATGAGATGATGGAAGGTTGCGATCAGTTCGTGATTGTTCTGTATCTCCTCCTACAACATTAGTAAACGTTAATATTAAAGTGACAAAACAGTCAATAATAACATATTGAGAATTAATTTGCAGGTCATATAATTTCAAATCCTAATATGTTAATACTAAATTCATTTTGTTTCATCATTAATCAGTCAAATTAATCATAGACTTCCTCAGTTCTCACCTTTCCAAACAGATGTGAAATGACTCCATCAGGGAGAGCATGAGTCCAGCTTGTGATCTGTCAAGAATGTAATGCGTTAGTGAGGATTTGTGCAATGGTATGGCTTTGCACATTCAAATTAGTTTAATAATGCAATGTTTTCAAAATGAATCTCATAAGAATGCAAATCTAGCAGAAAGAAATCTGTTTTTGTACCTTTTGTGCTGCCCTTTCCATGAAACCCTCTGCGTGCACGCTCAAATTAATCAGAACAAGACCATCAACTATGTCTGGATGTTTTAGCTTTAAGAGATGCAAAAAATAAAAAATTTTATTATTTAATATGCAGTACTGGAATGTGATTTGTGCAAAGGAAACATTCCTGTGTATTAACAAGCAAGCTGGCAATAATAATGAGCAGGATTACACTGCAAGTATCAGCACTGCTTTGTAGTGAGAGTTACAAAACTGTAATCCATGCTATTCAAAGCAATTCAAAATGCATCTGACAGGTAAAGTGTATAAAACTCACTGCAAAGCGAGTCAGGATGTTGGCTCCGGCTCCAACCGCCATTCCAATCACACTCTTCAGACTATGAGGGAAAAAGAGCAAACATTCAGGTAAGTTTGAATCAAGACCGTAAGATTATAATACAAGCCTCAAAAATATGAGTTAAAAATCTGAACTGGTTTTATACCAGTTTTATAACTTACCCAAAATGCTGGAGGACCATAGGGAGGGTTTCTGAGAGCTGATCCATAGAAGGATAGGTATACCTACAATATTAACAGACAGTGCTTTATTTGTTAGCCTCAAACATGTTGAACAATATGGAGGTCAAATACTATGACATCCAATCAAACAGCACGACCGGTTAACTAGGTTTGGCTGATGGCCTTCCAGGCATTAGCGAAGTCATAATCTGTCTGGATGCTGTTCTGGAAAGATGGATGATGATTAATGGATGTCCTTTACTTTGCTGTAGCAGATGGCAGATCATAAACATGCTCTGCTCCCCTCAAACCCTACATGTGACACGCTGACCTACATTCTGTCAGTCTGGTGCCATAGGGTGCTGATTAAAGCTGTCTGCATTATATTTCCTAGAGCAGATCTGCTCCGATTGAGCAGATTTTAAATGCATTTCCTGTCTTAGAGGCTGGGGAATGTAAACTAAAGCAGTTTTTTTTGTCTTTGTTGACAGAATGAGTAAGAGAAGCCATTAATTTTTAATTCTAAGACATAACTCTAAAAATGTTAGTTATTCGTATGCCTTCGGATGCTCTGATAGACCTGGAACCATAATCTGGTGGCATAATGACCCCTCACTTACTCTGTGGAGAGCGTGCTGGCACCCTCCTGCTGTCCTGGGGCATCAACATGGCACACAGCAAAGTGTTGCATGATCTCATGCATGTCTTTGTGATTAAAGAAAGACTCGAAACAGCTCTTATCTGCAGAACAAAGAGCACAGCTGTGCTACTAAGATAGGTATACACAAATTATTCAGTCCATTAAGACAGAATACAAATGAGATGTTATACATATAGGACTTGTTTTAAGAGCATTGGAACTTGCACTGGCATTTGCAGTGACATTGAACTGTTTACGGTAAAGTCTTACAGGCAGAGGGGAATAAGAAGGTATAGAGGAGGTTCTTACGGTTCAGTCCGATGTCATGGAAAGTCAGGATGGTAGGCCGGTTGCCCTTCGGAACACCCATCATAGTGCAGTGCACCAGACCAAAGGCAGTCTCCACATCATCCTCCTACAAAAGCAAAGTTATGGTTAGTTTTGTAACATATAGAGAATTTTGTTGTTTTCCTCTCAATGAACTTTTGTTCACATCAAAAAGTATCAAATAATCGTTTATTTGGAGAATAAACTTTTTTTTTTTTTTTTTACAATGCCTTAGTGCATTCTTATGATGGAGAGACATTTGAATACTCATTAATCTTAAGCTGTTTCTTTTCAATGGCTGCAATAAAAATGTGTTGGAACATATGGTCCAAAATAGTTTTGACTGATTATTATGATAATATGACTGATTATAGCTTAACATATTTATTGTAACATTTCCCTCAGTTCACCAATAAAAGTCTTTTTGATTGTTGCGCACCACCTTATAGTTAAAAATAGCCTGCTTATTTCTGACAAAAACTCCAAAACACCTTGACCATACATACAGTATAAAGTTGCTGGACAGTAAACAACACAAATCCCATCAACAGACCACAAACATCAACATCAAACCCCCTTAAAATAAAACTCATGCAAACACAAATCGAATCTTTTGTATCCACTGCTAAAACTGCATATAGAACAACAGCAGAAGATAAAATCAACTCACAGTGATGTCAAGCTCAAAGACGCTGCACTCAGAGTCCTCCAGTACCATGGTTACTGTTGCAGTTGAAGGCTGATGTATCGGCAGATGTAAACAAAATTGTGTGTATTTGAAAAGAGTAGATCCTGGTTTGCTGCTGCCTCAAGCTCTGAGTTGCACAGAATGCACTGAGGTCTGAGTTTTATATCCCCTTGTTTACAGTGTGGCGTAAACATGTAATTCCCAGCATGCCTTGCATAGTGGCCAGAAGGAGCCTAATTCTTAAAGGATGGAGAGATCTACAAATTGGATCAGTAAGTTAAGCTGAACACTGGCATCACTGAATATGTCCCACCTCTGTGGTGTTCCCATAGTATGTAAACATTTTATGAATGAAACACATGAGATCTTGGGAGTTGCATAGCAATTGCCACTTTATATAAATGATGCATTGTTTGATTCACTCACTGTTACAACTGTGCAAAAAAACTAGATATTTTACCCAAAAATGAAAATTCTGTCATTGTTTACTCACCCTCAGGTGCAAACCTGTGTAACTTTGTCTTTTATGGAACACAAGATATTTTGAATGTCAAATGGCTTTCAATGTAAAAATAAAGGAATTGGTCTTTAATGATAAAGAAATGTGAATGTTTTATGACTCCAAAAAAGCACAAACGTCAAAAGATCAGAAGACACATCAGTCAAGCACTGTGTAGTCTTGCACTTAAGAATCTTGACCTCACAGTGATTAAAATAAAGAACTCTGTTTACAGTGTCCATCATCAGAGTAAGAGCGTTAAGCTCATTTAGCACAGGGACAATGTGCTGCTACGTGTTCGTGCAGGCGTAAGGCTGTTCAGAGTAGATGGCATGTCTGCGGTCAAGATGTCATTGATGCCCACAAGTGTCCCTGTCGAGTGTGCAACAGTGGCCTGGAAAACAGTACTGAAATCTTCTTGGAGGATCAACATGACAGGGCAAGCTGTTTGTTCAGTCCTCTTTGTGATACAGAATTGATGGCTACTGTTTGATTCAGCATATTATATATATGTATTTATATAAAAGTTTAGGATATTTTTAAGGAAATTAATACTTTTATTCAGCAAGGATGCATTAAAAGTTGATAAAAAGTGAAGTAAAGTTTGTTTGAAAAATGTTATATTTAAAATAAATGCTGTCCTTTTGAACATTTCTCTCTATTCATATATTTCTATTCATTTTTTCCACACTGATAATAAAAAAAAAATGTTTTGTGAGCACCAAATGATTTCTGAAGGATCATGTGACATAAGGACCTGAGTAATGAATGCTGAAGATTCAGCTTTGCCATCACAGGAATATATTACATTTATAAAATACAATATTAAAATAGAAAATATTTATTTAAAATTGTAATAATATTGCACAGTGTTACAGTTTTACTGTACTTTTGATCAAATAAATGCAGCCTTGGTGAGCATAAGAAAATATGAAAAAGTCTTACAGACCACAAACTTTTAAATGCTAGCCTATGTGTTAAAATTAAGGTATAATTTTAACTGATAGTCTTTTTTGCTAACTCTTGTAATGCATTTATTATGAGTTTGGACAGCCCTGCCCTAACCCTACCCACAACTCTATCCCTCTACCCCAGGGGTGCCCAAACTCGGTCCTGGAGGGCCGGTGTCCTGTAGAGTTTAGCTTCAACCCCAATTAAACACCTGAACCAGCTAATCAAGCTCTTATAGGCATACTAGAAACTTACCAGCAGGTGTGTTGAGGCAAGTTGGAGCTAAACTCTACAGGACACCGGCCCTCCAGGACCGAGTTTGAGCACCCCTGCTCCACCCCATTAGACGTCCAGAGAGGTGGAGCTGGAAGTCATTTGACTCTGCAGTGAGTACCACTTGACTACCTGCGCACATATCTGTAGGTTGCCAAATTGAGGGGACAAATGGGTTGAAATTTGTATGCGTCGATCGTGTGATAAAGATGCGTTTCATACAAGATCTGGCAATTGGACAACCTTGGAATTTGTTGTTGTGAGTATTCATATGAGGTGTGGCCCATACAAATTACGGGAGTTTTACCGGAAGCGAATGTAGCAAACATATAAAATACGCCCAGTGGGAATTTAATTTTTTATATAAAGATTAGAAATACGGGAAAATATTTAAACGGGGTGATACCGGGATAGAATGGTAAAATACGGGAGAATTCCAGGAAAAACGGGAGACCGCTATTTCATGCTCTGTAAAACCCAAATGTCTGTCATATAGCTTGTGTTTGCGACACAGACTCGCCTGATTTAAAATTAAATTGGTCTTATACAGAAAGATTAAAAACTTCACAAAATAAAATCATTGATGTAATTACACTTTATTTATGCAAAAATCCATACAGTTACGTACAATAAAGAATGAAAAGAGACATTCTATAACCATGTCTGTAACGTGTTTTAAAATTGACACAATTAAAATAACAAATTCATCGCCCATATCCACGATGCAGAAAGGTTCAGGCATCGCCTGCATAAAGCTTTTTCAACAATCACTGACTCTTCAATTGCAGGCTTGTTTTATATTGTTAATGTCCCACTGTTAATTGTTTGCCAATATCCTCTTAACTCTCAATTATTTAACGCGTTTTAATTGAGATTGAATGGAAGTTCTGAAGAGCCAGTGCAAGTAATAAAAATTTTGGGGGGGTTATTCCAAAAATGTTTATCCTATTGTTATCATTTAACTCAAACAATAGCCTACTATTTCCTCCAAAGGTCACAACCGACGTGGACTATCCATCTGTTACTGGACATATGTGATTGGAATAGGCATTGACCTGCATAAATTCTGAACCAGACAGTGTACTTAACCTTATATTTAAAGATGATGAATATGATGCCATAGCCTACTAAAGAAGTTAAATTAAATTTAAAGTTAAATCTCATTGTACGTTATTATTTTGCAGCACACCTGGGTAGGCCTACTGTTCTTTTGGGCATTTCGGAATTAATGTTATTTATAATTCCATATGTCATATGCGAAAATGTATGTAGAAGATGACACGGTTAAAGTAAGCAACATTTTACGTGAATAGATGAATTAGATAAATTCCACATGACCCACTGACATATTTTCATCATTGCACGCTAGATGGCGCAATATTAGTAGTATTTCATGATTTAGCCTAATCATTAGCTCGGCATGAGATTAGAACCTGTATTTATTGTTATGAATATGATTATACTTAATTACTACATTTGAACTAAATTCAATATATACATTTCAATTATTATAACTTTTAAAAACTCGCAAATATGAAAGGAATTTCTGTTAACTCTCTTA